CTCAAAATCTTCCTCGACAAAACCCCTAGATGTGAGAGCTGGGGTTCCTGAATCACACGAAACCACAATTTAAAATCCAAGGGACCTAGATAACCACCATAACAAATATATGGCTTCATGATCAAGGGTGTGAATGGGCCCATACCCATGCGGATGCCACCGGGAAACATAGCAGACACATCCCCTGGAACAGTGTTTTTATTGGCTGCAATATGAACTGATTCCAATACATTCTCAACTCTTGAGCCACCAATACCCTGTTGATCACCGTTTCAGAAATAATATAGACTCTAATTACCAACAATTACCAATTAAATAGTTTAAGAGTATTTGAAATTGGAAAAATGATAACAATCCATTTATGGATTCTGATCAGTTAAAGGGTTGAAAAGTTTCTAGACCTATTAAATTAGTTACTTACTATCAGGTTATTCTATAGGAATTCTCATGACAACATAAAAGGTATGATAATTTTTGGTAAATCGGTTTGAAAGGAACAATAATTCAAGAATCACATACCATGTTTCGCAAATTGACCAAGACTAAATGGTTCTCGGTCCCACCAGATACTAGATCATAGCCGTTCTTTAGCAACCTCTACAAAAACAGAACACAGAGAATTGCAACCATCACAGTTAAATCACTCGAGAGTGTACACGATAAGGCCAAGGTTCACATAAGCCAAGTACTAGTTGTGAACTTGCATCAATAGGAGCTGGGTCATTCAGTTTACCCGAGCAAATTTCGAGCAATTAATGAGAACTTGCTCTTGGTAAGCTTTGTAATCAGGTGTTCTGACCTATAAACACAAAACCCTAAACTCAATAAATCTAATACTCCGGGCTAACTTGTATCTATATATTGTATGGCCTCAACTTGGCATTTCATATTTCACTTGCATAAACATTTTTTTAATCAAAGAATACCTGCTTCAATGCAACTGCTAAACCAGATATGGTGTGATTATGCGGACCACCTTGAAGTCCAGGAAAGACAGCTTGATTAATTTTTTCTTCCAAATCATACATGACCTGTAGGATAGAACACGAGAAATTGAACAAATCACGTTTTCCTTCTTTTTTCCACTCATCCAACTCAGAGAAAGAGATAATAAGCATACCGAAACTTAGATCATACTTCTCTTTCCCTTGTTTGTTAATCTCTTTGGCTCCCTTCCTGAAGAAAATCATAGCACCACATGGACCATGAAGTGACTTGTGGGTTGTGGTTGTCACAACATCAGCGTATTCAAAAAGAGATGGAATAACACCTGCAGTAACCAACCTACTTATATGTGCCATGTCGGCCAACATAATTGCTTTCTGCTTGTCACAGACCTGTCCATAAAGCAGTAAGAGTTAGTTTCTCAACGTTGAGTCGATTTTCATTGATATATGATAAAATCTACTGACATCAAGACAAGTAAAAGGTGTGTACCTTGCGGATTCGTGCATAGTCACAAAGGCGAGCACACGCACTGGCTCCGGCAACTATAAGTTTTGGTCTGAAAAGCACATCACTTATCTCTAACTGCAAATGTTTTTATTCATCTAAGTTACCTCATTTAAAGATAGTTCAAGTTTCACCTAAATTTTCCAAAAAAAAAATACTTGCAAAGAGCTCGTGACATGGATAACACCTTTAGCTTCTATGTCACAGTCGAATTTGATTTAAGATGCAGGCAAGTTCCATACATCTGAAAATTCAAACCGCTCAATTGAAAATCTAACTATAAAGATATAGATTTCTCTTTTGTATGTCAAATTATGCTTAAAAGATGCAGCACATAGCAAATATTCCACACAAGTTCCAGCTGTGAATCTTGAAAGGATTGTGGAAAGTAAACAAAACATTGATCAAAAGGTGCATCCCTGGTTTTGTACAATATACAGTTACTCAAGTGTAGATACATAAAACAGAATGAAAGAGGAGCTACTTGATCATAGTCAATGTAACCTGTACTCTCTTCCAATCTATATGGCATTGTCTCAAAGAATATGGACACAGAAGATATCTTCTTAGTGTCGGTCTGTATAATGAAAAGAAGAATTTAAATTTTGAATTTCAAACACAGTAGCACCAGTTGAATAGCCTTAAAGTAATGTTACCTCCTGATACGTTAGTTCTTCAGAAAAAATACAATTAGAATTAACAAGAGAAGACAAAAATGTAACCAAATTCACCAGAAAAGCTCTTAGTTAATGGAAATGATAAGCACCTGATAACCATGTAAAAGATGTCCACCATGGGGTAAATCTAGTGCCATAATTCATTCATGAGGTTTCAACAATGCAGTATAAACTTGAAAGTTAGCAGGAGATCAAAAAAGTGACTGAACATTGACTGCAATAATGAAACAGATACAGGATAAGCTATATGCTGCCTAGAAAGTAAATATCTTCCATTGCCTAGCTTTCTCGAGTTCGATTATGTTAGCAATTTCAGGTTCGATTTCCTCAAGTGGAGCATTCAACTGATGTACCCACTACAAAGGCAATCACAATCACAGCAAAGAGATTTAAAATCTAAACCTTGTTTGAATAACAATAATTTAAAAAAAATGAGGCTTACGTTAGCACGAGCTTTCTCTTTCTCTGCGGCAGCTGTTGACTGAAGCAAATGAAAACAAAGAAGAGATGGAAATTAAATAAAACATTAAAGAAGCAATGAAAGAAGTTAAGAAAAAAAGTTAGAGACACAGGAACCATGTAGCGGAGGGAGGTGCAACTGAAGAGGGTCTGATCGGAGACTTGAAGTAGGAAGAGAGCCTGCGAAAGCTCATAGCCGTCGCCATTGCTCGGCGTTTTCTGGCGTGGAGCGAGGTACGGGATACGAAGGAAAATGACTTACCCTTTTCCAAACGGTAAGTCATTTTACCGTGTTTTGCGCTGAATTTTCTGTTGACCACGGACCCATAATAGAATTTCATGTACTCGTATTTTAAGTTTGCAATTTGTTAGATCACGTTATAAGTAAAGATGATAACAAATCGTATTAAATGTTTTTTTTTTTTTTGTCAATCTAACTTGATTCAAAATATATATATTATTCATTTGATTCGATTTGATTCAAAGAGCAATTTGATCTTACTTAAATTTTTAGAGTATAAATTCTGATCTAATTAAAAAAAACTATAAAAAGATGAATATTATATCAATTATCTATAAATTTATAAGAAAATATACTATTACTCCTAGGTCGGTCGTGTTGAAAGTTTTGTACCTTCCACTCGGATGCAACCTGATCCGACTTTACTCTATATAAAATTTGACCTGATCAAATTAGACAGTAAACATATCAATTTTAAATTAAAGAGAAAATAACTTCAGTGACCAAAAATGTCTTATAATATACGATATTAACCAACTTTTTTTTTATTTGCGAAAATGACCAACAAATTCGCAACGCGAACTCCAAAATCGCAATGCGATTTTCCAAATTCACAACGATAATATATAAATCGCAACGCGAATATGTAAATCGCAACACATAAGTCAAATTCGCAACGCTAATTACCGATATAGGTAAACAGTACTATCGCAACGCGATTCTCCAAAATCGCAATGTGAATTTTATTTTCGCAACGCTAATTACCTATATCGATAATTAGCGTTGCGAAATTCAAGTTGTGAATTTGGAGAATTCGCTTTGTGATTTACATATTATCGTTGCGATTTACCTATTCACGTTGTGAATTACATATTATTGTTGCGATTTAACTATTCGCGTTGCGAAATTCGAGTTGCGAATTTGGAGAATTCGCGTTGCGATTTACATATTATCGTTGTGATTTACCTATTCGCAACGCGAATTTCGTTTTCGCAACGCTAATTACCTATATCGGTAATTAACGTTGCAAAATTCGAGTTGCGAATTTGGAGAATTCGCGTTACGATTTACATATTATCGTTGCGAATTTGGAAAATCGCAACGCGAATTTCGTTTTCGCAACGCTAATTACCTATATCTGTAATTAGCGTTGCGAAATTCGAGTTGCGAATTTGGAAAATTTGCGTTGTGATTTACATATTATCGTTGCGATTTACCTATTCGCGTTGCAAATTACATATTATCGTTGCGATTTAACTATTCGCGTTGCGATTTTGACTTTCGTGTTGCGAATTTAGAAAATCGCGTTGCGATTTACCTATTCGCGTTGCGATTTTGGAACCTGTGTTGCGAAATTGGAGTTCGCGATGGGAATTTGTTGGTCATTTTCGCAAATCCAAAAAAATGATTAAAATCGTATATTATAACGCATTTTTAGTCACTAAAGTTATTTTCTCTAAATTAAATTATCATCTCTTCGTACTTCATGTGCCCATATTTGCACTTTGTGTGCTCAAGACAGAACCTTCGAGAAACTACGTTCCGAATCACATGTACATAAAGACTCTAATGCCAAGGAAAAATATAATAAATCGACGACTCTATTGATCTAATAATAATTAGGTTTAAACTAAGAATTCTTAAATTATGTTTTTTTATTTTAACTACTTCAAGTATTTTTTGATAAAAAAGTCTCTAAATTAGTATATTTAATCACTCTAAATACTTAAATTATTTTTAGTTAAAATAAGTATCTAAATTATATAATTGTTTTTAAATATCTAAATAAATTTTCAATTAAAATAAGTGTCTCAATCTTTATGATGCGTCAACATCTCATTGGCTCAAACAAAATTATTTAATTTAAAAAATGAAAATTAAAGTGACCACGAAATATAATTTGTAACAGATATATTTTAATAAATGAAAACGAGAAAAAATAATATTAAAATACAAAATGGATTTTGGTTCACAGAAGGAAGCTCGAATGTTTAACTAAAAAGACAACAATGACTAATGTGGGGGTAGCCATATAATATCATGGATGGATGGTTATGGATGGATGGTTATGGGTTGATGGGAAATATATGTGTGGAGCATGGAGAGACACAAATGAGAACACTCAAAACATCCACCATACATTGAAGAAGAGGCTATCCTTCTCTATCCTATCCGTAATCTCATCCTCTCCTTCCAATTCTACTCATCCACCAATTACTCTTACTCTAAGCCTCTCTTCTACTTATTCATATATACCAAAACCTCTGTCATCGTCTTGTCTGTCTCTCTTGTCTTTCTTACACACCACTATGGCATCGGCAACTGTTTCTGTAGCCAAACCACTCGTTCAGGTCCGGCTTCATTGCTCTTAGTTTTATTAGTGATTTCGTTGCTTGTTGCTCGAACCAATGTTTCTTTTTTGTTTCAGGCGAAAGGAAAGGGTCTTGCTTTTGCTGAATTCTCCGGCCTACACAACTCCGCCGGTAGCCTTCCGTTTGCCAGGAAAGGCTTCGATGACTTCGTTTCACTCGTTGCTTTTCAGACATCTGCTGTGAGTTCGTTTCTTACTTTCCCGACTTCATTATATATACTATCTTACTCATGATGCATGTGAGTTTATACCATGTATGATGTACTGAACCATTTATGTCCTTGACCCTCTGGTTAAAGTTTTCGAATTTCGAATGTGTTTGTAGTTAGGAAGCAATAATGGCGGATACAGGAAAGGGGTAGTGGAGGCGAAGCTAAAGGTTGCGATAAACGGGTTCGGTAGAATTGGAAGGAACTTCTTGAGGTGCTGGCATGGTCGTAAGGACTCTCCGCTCGATGTCATTGCCATCAATGACACCGGTGGTGTTAAGCAGGCTTCTCACCTTCTCAAATATGACTCCACACTCGGCATCTTCGATGCCGATGTCCAGCCTGTTGGCACCGATGGCATCTCTGTTGATGGCAAAGTTATCAAGGTTGTTTCCAACCGCAACCCTGTCAATCTTCCATGGGGGTAAGAGTGTCTGATTTCATATCTTCATGTAAAGTAACAATTGTTTGATAACGTTGATGATGATATTATAGGGACTTGGGAATCGACCTGGTGATCGAAGGAACCGGTGTGTTCGTCGATAGAGACGGTGCAGGTAAGCACATACAAGCAGGAGCCAAGAAAGTGCTGATTACTGCCCCAGGTAAGGGTGACATCCCCACCTATGTTGTTGGAGTAAATGCTGACGCCTACAACCCAGATGAGCCCATTATCAGCAATGCTTCTTGCACCACCAACTGTCTTGCTCCTTTCGTCAAGGTTCTGGACCAGAAGTTTGGTAATTCCTTTAAACTATATGTCTATTACAAGAATTGTAACGCTTTCGACATGAGATACTAACGTAATGTGTATGACAGGTATCATCAAGGGAACCATGACTACAACTCACTCGTACACTGGTGACCAGAGGCTGCTCGATGCTAGCCACCGTGACCTCAGGCGTGCACGAGCTGCAGCTCTCAACATTGTCCCCACTTCAACTGGTGCTGCAAAGGCTGTGGCCCTTGTACTCCCTACTCTCAAAGGCAAACTCAACGGTATTGCATTGCGTGTACCAACGCCAAATGTGTCGGTGGTCGACCTCGTTGTCCAAGTTTCGAAGAAGACCTTTGCTGAGGAGGTGAATGCTGCTTTCAAAGAGAGTGCAGAGAAAGAGCTAAACGGTATTCTTTCGGTATGTGAGGAACCCCTTGTTTCGGTCGACTTCAGGTGCTCTGATGTGTCCTCCACCATCGATGCATCACTCACCATGGTCATGGGAGACGACATGGTTAAGGTGATTGCTTGGTACGACAACGAGTGGGGCTACTCTCAAAGGGTTGTGGATTTGGCTGACATTGTTGCCAATAACTGGAAGTGATTTCTATGCTATCATATATATATATATATATGTGCATAATAATGGGATTGATGGTTGATTTTTGCAGGCTCACCTCATTTATTCTTTAGGTTTCTACAATTCCTCCTTTTGTCAAGGCTACTATATAATCTGTATGTAATGTGGGACACATACATTCTCTAATATGTTTATGCAATAAAATTCTTACTTTTTATATTCAAGTTCAAGGTCCCTTACCTGCATGATTGCATATGATGTTTCACTGAAATTGAATAGAAGGATAAGGAGCAAGATCCAACACCGTTCATCCTTGTTTACATTTCCTCACTTGAAGAGCATATTTTATCAACTATTTCAAACTAACAAACCTACTAAATTCAGAGTTTAACAGATGATACACACAATCAGTTGCAAACAGAAACTTTTGCATTCTCGGCTTCTTCAACCAACTGTGATGTGATGCCCTGAAAATTAGGCTAATCAACTTAGGAAATTGAGTGATCAAATTAAAAAAATAAATAAATTTTACTGATAAAAATAGAATGAGACTAAAGTTAAGTATTTAAATTAAGTTTTTGTCAAATTTATAGAAAACTTTGCAATAGTAAACTATGTAAACATAACTCCAACTCGACTCAACGCCCTACAATTTTTTTTCCAAAGAATAAATGAGTAAATTTACAAGCATTCTTCCTTCTTTCCTTCCTGGATTTTAATGAAATGAAATTAGGTAGAAAGCATGCTTGTGAATGCTGTTAATTACTTCGTATTCAGCTCGAAAAACCGGTCGCAACCAATGCAACTCACATGCCCTTCCATCTGAAACCAAAAGGAAAACGAAAAGCTGCATAATCGATAACGATGTTAACCGAGCTAAACTCAATCAGCAAGAAACTACCATCTTACCAAGGCAGAAAGCTAGCATGAATCAAGATGCGAGGGTACCCTCTTTTGCCTTGAGCACTACTTCTTCAGTGGTCACACCAATTATCTCATTAGCTCGTGCCAATCCCACACAGGCGTATTTCCCTGTAGTATCCTGCAGTTCCTAAACCAGTTCCTACATTCTTTAACTTAAACCAAAACAAATGAATATCATCTATATGTATATGGATTTGTATAACCAAGGACCTTATTAACAACTTTCAACTTCTCTAGCTTTGCAAGTGCATCATCCACATCAAAGTTGCAGCTCTCCCCGAACTCCTCTTGAAGTAGATCCTCGCACCGTTGGTCCAATTCCTACACCAGTTTTCCAACACATTATGCAATCTAGTCCGTTTACCTCTTCGAATCCTCACACTGTATGCAGTATATGCAATCATACCTTGGAGGTGGCTTTACCTTGCTCCATTAGTATAAAGAATGCAATGATTACCTCTTTCACCTGCAATCAACATTAGACTGTGTTGTTTTCATTGGTTTTGACCAGAAAATCTACTTGGAATAGAGACAAAGAGAGACAACAGCTTACTTCCTGTTGAATCACATCATCACACAAGTGAAGCAAAGTGCCCCTTCCGCTGTCGAGTTGCTTTTCGTACATGGATTGTGTTATTAGACTCTGATATGCAGCCATGTTTGCTTCAAACCTATATGGCAATATGAGAAACAATCAATCAAGGCCCCTGATACTTTACCAAGCATATATATAGGATCAAATACTTCCTCATATGACATATATACATATTCATCAAAGATGGACGAAAACGTACGTTAAATAAGTCTTAGCACAGTAACCAACCACTGTTGACAAAATGGCAAAAATGACCCAAAGATCAGCTTTAGGCATTTCAAGGGAAGTAATCACTGCAACCTGTGAAGAAGGGCTTTGTGTGTTAATATAAATACCAAAAGAACCGGTGGAGCGAACACGAAATGAGCCAAGAAAGATGATTGCTTAACTGACCAGTCCCACAACAGCGGAGGCAATGAATGTGACCCAATCCATAGGAGTTAATCCAGGGTTTTTCTTTTCAGGCTGTTAAAAGAGCACACAAAATGTATAATGATCCATACTATCACTTCATTTAACAACTTTGAGCACAAAAGAGCTTATAAGAGAGGCTCACAAGGACTATTTCAAGATCTGCCATAGGAATATTTTTGAAATGTTTTACATGTATTCCTCGATCCTTTTCTGGTCCTCCACTCGATTTCCTGGAATTTCAGCATACTTTTTAGATGCATTTGAAAACTTGTATTTCGATAATGAATTGGAAACCTGTATGATAAGACGCAATAGACAGTACCTGTAAACAACAATTATCCTCTCAAAAGTAGGTTCTTGAATTGTCGTCTTGGTAACCAAGTTCTGCAAGCTGGAAGAAAAAAGTTATTGAGTAGAAACAACACCAGCATATTAAGACAACAGCATATAAAGATTGCAATTTTACAACCTTAGTTCCATTTTTTCGAGACGGATACGCTCAACATATAGTTCTTCACTAATGTCCTCATCCTTCGTTGGCACTTTCTTATGCGCCCTTCCTAATGATTTGCCGAAAATCTTGTCCAACCTGCAAGGAACACTTACTTTCAGAGCATCTTCTCTAACTTAATGCAGTATGTTAACTATTTAGGACCCCTAAAAAAGATGACGGCTAAATGGCTGAACATTCACCAAGAATAAGCCATAAACACTGATGTAAGGTAATGATTGTCCAGAATATACTCACCGCATTTGCTGTTGTGAAATTCGGGTTAATTTCCACCAATAACAGATTCACCGTGAAAACTATTATCTAGGTGACTAGTGTGAAAACGATTGTACTAAAAATCACCCCAAGGTAGATTCCCAGGAAAGAGGAGGGGTCACAATGGTCCCTCTTAAAACCCACTTTCCTTAGACAGAACTACCAAGACAAGTAATTTTAATAGGACAATAATTGACAACAACTATACCCGACAATAGCTATTAAATAGACATAAAAGAGAACACCAAAATATTTCACTAATAGAGGAAATATTACAAAGAGAGAAAGAATACAAATAGCCTTTAAAATAGAAGAAGGCTTATATTTGTGGGATGATTAACTAAGGAGGAGGAGGGCTTTATTTATAACAAAAGAATTTCCCCTCCTCCTTATACACAACCAATGTGGGACTTTTGCCAAAAACCAACAAATCTCCACCTTGGCAAATTCCACACACATCTCTAAAAAACAATCTTTTAATTTGTAACAATATTGACCAAATCTAAACAATGTTTAAACTTGACCGCAGTTACCACTTTTGTCAACATATCAGCAGGATTCTCAGTGGTCCGAATCTTCTGGATTATGACTCCACCTTCTTCTAGAATCTCTCGTACAAAGTGATATCGAACATCAATATGCTTCGTCCTTGCATGGTAAACCTGGTTCTTTGCTAAATGAATAGCACTCTGACTGTCACAGTGCACTTTGATGTGCTTTTGTTCTATTCCCAATTCACCAAGCAACCCTTGAAGCCAAATTGCCTCCTTCACAGCCTCTGTAACTGCCATATACTCTGCCTCTGTAGTAGACAAAGCCACTGTTGACTGTAAGGTGGACTTCCAACTGACTGGTGCCTTTGCAAATGTAAACACATAACCAGTAGTTGATCGACGCTTGTCCAAATCACCTGCATAGTCTGAATCACAATACCCAACTACACACTGACCATCTTGTTTGTCCTGCTGAAAGACCAAACCAACATCTACGGTGTTTAGAATATACCGCAGAATCCATTTCACAGCTTGCCAATGCTCCTTTCCAGGATCATGCATATACCTGCTCACAACCCCAATTGCCTGTGAAATATCGGGTCTCGTACACACCATTGCATACATCAAGCTACCAACAGCACTTGCATACGGAACCTTTGACATGTATTCCCGTTCTGCATCATCCTTAGGTGACATGGATGCACCGAGCTTGAAATGAGGAGCAAGAGGTGTACTAACTGGTTTTGACATTTCATTTATGCCAAAACGTTTTAGTACCTTCCTCAGATATTCTTTCTGAGACAAACAAAGCCTCCCCAATTTCTTATCCCTTGATATCTCCATGCCTAGAATCTTCTTCGCTTCACCAAGATCCTTCATCTCAAACTCCCTGTTCAATTGAGTCTTTAGTTTCGCAATTTCTGTCTGACTCCTGGAAGCTATCAGCATATCATCAACATAAAGAAGAAGATATATATAGGATCCGTCTTCTAGCTCACGTAAATACACACAATGATCATATTTGCTTCTTGTGTACTTCTGCCCTATCATAAACTTGTCAAATCGCTTGTACCACTGCCTTGGAGATTGCTTCAATCCGTACAACGATTTTTCTAATTTGCACACCATCTCTTCTTTTTCAGCAACTTTGAATCCATCTGGCTGAGTCATGTAGATTTCCTCATCCAAGTCTCCATGTAAAAATGCAGTTTTTACATCCATCTGAACTAGTTCCAAATCCAACTGCGCTACCAAAGCCAACAAAATTCTGATGGAGGAATGTTTTACAACTGGAGAAAATACTTCATTATAATCAACTCCCTCCGTTTGAGCGTAGCCTTTAGCCACCAATCTTGCTTTGTAGCGGATGTTATTCTTGTCAGGAAATCCATCTTTCTTTGCATATACCCACTTGCACCCAATTGCCTTCTTTCCCTTCGGAAGACTAGCTAGTTTCCACGTCTGATTCTTTTGAAGGGATTGCATTTCTTCATTCATGGCAATCCTCCACTTTTTATGTTCTGAACTTTGAACTGCTTCATTAAAAGTGGCAGGAACGTCATCAATTGCAATTGGTGATGCAAAAGAGACCATATCAGCATAACGAGCAGGTTGTCTAATGGTCCTCTTTCCCTTTCTGAGTGCAATTGATTCATGTTGCTGTGGAGGTTCTTGGGTCTGAACCTCTTCTTCATCTGACTCTTCTTCTACCATAGGAGAGTCAACATCATTTTCTTTACTGGTTGGGACAAATTTGCTTCCTTCAAACTCCACCTTTTTGGGAGTTCCATCTGTCTGCTCCAATTTTTCTGAAGTCACCTTTCTCAACATGGTAGATTCATCAAAGGTAACATCCCTGCTGAAGATTATTTTCTTTGTTTCTGGACACCAAAGACGATAGCCTTTCACACCAGAGGTGATCCCCATAAAAATCGCCTTCTTTGCTCTTGGATCCAGCTTTGACTCCTTAACATGGTAGTATGCAGTGGAACCAAACACATGTAAGGAATCATAATCTGTAGCAGGTACTCCAAACCATTTCTCTAATGGTGTTTTACCACCAATAGCAGTCGATGGTAAGCGGTTGACAAGGTGACAAGCATAGACCAAAGCCTCAGCCCAAAATTCTTTGCCTAACCCAGCATTAGACAACATACACCGAACCTTCTCCACTAATGTCCGGTTCATACGCTCTGCCACTCCATTCTGTTGTGGTGTACCTCTGACAGTGAAGTGCCTAACAATACCTTCCTCTTCACAGACTTTCAGAAATGGATCATTTTTGTACTCTCCACCATTGTCTGTACGGAGACGTTTGATTTTTCTGCCTGTTTGAGTCTCCATCATCTTTTTCCATTTAAGGAAAAATCCTAGCACCTCATCCTTTGTCTTCATTGGATACACCCAAACTCTCCGGGAAAAATCATCAACAAAGGTGACATAATAGTGTGTTCCTCCCAATGAAGTTGTCTTGGAAGGCCCCCATACATCTGAATGAACATAATCCAAAATACCTTTAGTATCATGGATTGCTGTTCCAAATTTCACCCTCGTCTTCTTCCCTTTGATGCAATGCTCACAAAAAGCTAATTTGCAAGCCCGAGCACCCTTCAATAATCCTTGATCTATCAGTAATTTCAAGGATTTTTCACCAACATGCCCCAAGCGCATATGCCATAACCTGGTTGCTTCTGACTCCTGTTCATCAGTAGAAGCTGCCACTGCTGCTGTCCCAACAATTGTACTACCCAGAAAGTAATACACATTGTTTCTTTTTCGGATTCCCTTCATTATCACCAGTGCACCAGAGATAATCCTCATAATCCCATCTTTTGCCCTCACTTCTAAACCTTTTGACTCTAAGGTTCCCACAGAGATGAGATTTCTCATTAAATCTGGTACATAATGGACACCTGTTAAGGTTCTGATTGATCCATCCTGATTCCTCAAGCGAATTGAACCAATCCCAAGTGTGTCAAGAGGGGAATTATTTGCTGTGTAGACAATTCCACCTTTTAGTTCTTTAAAATCAAAGAACCATTCTCTATTGGGGGTCATATGGTGGCTACAAGCTGAATCTAACAGCCATGAACTGGAACAGCTGGTTGATGGCGTAGCAGCGAATGCGAAATCTGAATCTCCATCATCATACTCGACCACATTTGATTCTGAGACAGCCTTCCCCCTTTCAGGTTTGCCTTTATTCTTTAGCTTGGGACATTCTTTCTTCCAGTGCCCTTTTTCTCGACAAAAAGCACATTCATCTTTGCTCAATCTGGACTTTGACTTCGATCTCCCTCTGCTTCCTTTATTCTGACTCTTGGAACGGCCTCTAACAACAAGAGCTTCTGCTTCGACACTTGTGTTTTCTTGTTTGTCTTTCTTTCTCAATTCATAACTATACAAGGCAGCAGTTACTTCACTGAGAGACACATCAACCTTCCCATGAAGTAGAGTAGTTTCAAGATACTCAAACTCATCAGGAAGTGATCCCATCAACATCAGAGCCAGATCTTCGTCTTCAAAAGTCACGTCCATATTCATCAGATCAGTCACCAGCTGATTAAAGCTAGTAATGTGATCATTCATAGTGGTACCTGGTACATAGTTGAAGCGGAACAGTCTCTTTTTCATGTAGAGTTTGTTCTGACCGCTTTTCTTCAAAAATTTCTCCTCCAGTGCCTTCCACAATTTACTTGCAGAAGTTTCCTTAGAAAATGCATACTTCTGCTCTCTAGAAAGACACGATCGAATAGTACCACATGCCATTCTATTGATCCTCTTCCATTCTTTCTCCTCAACATCATCTGGTTTCTCTCCTTCAATAGCAATGTCTAGACCCTGCTGAAATAGGGCATCTAGAACCTCGCTTTGCCACATGCCGAAATGACCGGTGCCATCAAAAATCTCCACTGCAAATCTAACATTTGTCACAGCATTTCTTGCCAAAATTGAAGATGAAGAAGCGTCTGCCATTTCTGCTACAAATTCTATTTAATAGCTGCCAATGCAGAATGTCAATTATCCCAAGGAAATTTTTCTGATGTGGAAGATCAGCCTAAGCCGCAACCACAGAGCATACTAAAATAAACCAAGAGCTCTGATACCAATTGTTGTGAAATTCGGGTTAATTTCCACCAATAACAGATTCACCGTGAAAACTATTATCTAGGTGACTAGTGTGAAAACGATTGTACTAAAAATCACCCCAAGGTAGATTCCCAGGAAAGAGGAGGGGTCACAATGGTCCCTCTTAAAACCCACTTTCCTTAGACAGAACTACCAAGACAAGTAATTTTAATAGGACAATAATTGACAACAACTATACCCGACAATAGCTATTAAATAGACATAAAAGAGAACACCAAAATATTTCACTAATAGAGGAAATATTACAAAGAGAGAAAGAATACAAATAGCCTTTAAAATAGAAGAAGGCTTATATTTGTGGGATGATTAACTAAGGAGGAGGAGGGCTTTATTTATAACAAAAGAATTTCCCCTCCTCCTTATACACAACCAATGTGGGACTTTTGCCAAAAACCAACATTTGCTTCATAAGACGTGCCCAAAGACATGCAATGATAAGGTCTACCTTCTCCAGGTAAAAGAAATTAGTTGTTCGATCAATTCCGATCCCACGTCTGAATATAACGTACTAGAAACAAAAGAATCATACTTAGCTTGTCAAAGAGAGAGTGTCCAAACTAATACTTGTAAATCAAATATGTTCAAAGAAAGCACTTCCAAAATTTCATAGTTTGATGGTACTGAATCAGCTTTGCATTACACATATGTTTGATGAACATTTATCGAGAACGATGCAATTTCTATGCTAAAATTGTGATTCACAACCTTATCAGCAAAATCTGGAAGGTTATCTTGGGGATGATCAGCAAAGTATTTCCTTAGAAGTGATTTGTCAATCTGAATTCAGTAAAAAAAAGAAAACATGATGTAAGACAGAGAATCCACATTGTAGTGGCCGGATAATATGCATAACACATGAAGTTGCAGATGACCTTTGATTCATCAACTGTTATGGGGAGATTAAGAAGATATTGCCCTGCAGTTGCAACGTCAATCTCCTCGTTTGAGACTATCTTAAAATTACTCTTATCCATAACCTGGACGCCAAACAAATGGAGTTTCAACTTCCAACATGACGATAAATGAAATTCGGGTCATTTGATCGAAAAAGTTACTTGTACATCAAGGCATGCATGTTGTTCATAGACATGATCCTTGTTTACTAAGGATTAGACTGTGACTACATATGCCGGTTAGTATTTCTTTTTGTTCCATTATAAGCAAGAAGAATAATACCTGAAATAAATATGTTAAGAAATTCTGCTCAAGTATATCAATTTCGGCGGGAGTTAAATTCTGCTGCTGCAATTTTTGAGCTCCATATACAGGGTCAAAGAGGGAGAATAATTGCTACAAAATCAAAAACCATAAAATTCAAACTGAAATCAGAACCAAAAAAACAAGATACAGAAACAAAATGATTGAAGACTCATGTTTACCATCAAATCCTCAAACTGAAGAAGATACCAAGCTCGGATTGTGTACTCGACTCGCTTGCAGAACTTTACAAACTCAGCCCGATCTGAACTTTGTTCTGCAACACACAAACAAAAAAAAATAACAGTTTGGAACTCGAAGAAGACGCCATTAAAACGTTGATTACAAGAGGGGGAAGAGAAGGGTACGTACGAATGAGGTTGGAGAGAGTCATGATGATCTTTGCCTTGAGAGTTGGAATAACGGATTCACGCTCCAAGCGAATGACTTCCTTGGTGATGCCATTGGCCTTGGCCTTAAACATGGTTGCTGAGATTAATTTAGAATCTAGAGGGAATTCAAAAGCCAAAACCAAAAAGGATGAACAAACTAGAGAAGAAACCGAAAATGGAAATGACAGTTTTAGTTTGAGATTGTTTCATAGCAAGGGGCGTAAGCCAAGGCCGATAAGCCAGGTCCTCACGTAAGACTCGGAACCAACGTAGCAATAATAAGTAAAAACTAGATAATGGTGGCCAACGTGAAAGAAAATTATTAGTAAATGGAAGAAAAAAAGTTTAACTGTTATGTTAAAACAAAAAAAAAGCTAATAGTTAATGTTTGAGTGAAAATAATGTTTAATGGATTGGTTTATGTCATGGGATATAAATCTCATACATCATCGACAAATCATAATATATCATGTCAATAATGAATAAATAAAAAACTATTAAAGACCTATTAATAAATATCGATTGATTCAAGTCTCACGACAATGGATTATCAAATTTATTCTGGTTCTGGTTTTGTAATTGTAACTTAAAAAAGAAAAATACAAATTAATAGTATCAGCACAGCATATGTCGAGATTGCCTGCAACCCAGCTTGAGCAAGAGTGATACACCTAGCAAGCGAAACAGTTCTTGCCGCCCAACTCGACAACCTACCTCTCAGCATATCAATCAAATAAGAGTAAGTCAATATGGTAACTTGTTGATGCAGCAACAGTTTCCCAAGGTACTTACCCAAATTTGCAACTTTTACATAGCCGAAGTCATCCGCAGTATACTTCTGAACCTCACTTGTGACGTATTTTGAGGGGGAAAAAAGCATTTGCATCTTCAAGGTGCTAACCCGATGACCCGAGCTGATACAAAATCTCTCCAATATCCCTTTAATAGCGTTAATCTGTTCGATCGTTGTTTTGATGAAAAGAAACAAGTCATCTACGAAGAACAAGGGTGAAATAGGAGGACCATTACGTGACAATGTAATTGGATTCCATGAGCAATTATCAATATTTTTAACTATAGCTTGGGAAAGATGTTCCATACAAAGCACAAATAGATACGATTGAAACAAACCATTTTGTCTAATTCCTTTTTTGAAGGTTTAAACTCCTCGATCTTTTTTCCATTCCAAAGGACTGAAGTGGTCACTGAGCAAACACAATTCATAATTAAGACAATCAACTTAAACAGAATTCCCATATCATAATAAATTTTATTATTTTATACATTTAAATCGAAAAAAGTATTTCATGAATCCATCAAATGATCTCAATAGTAAAATGAAGCAGTGTTCCCTGTAGAGGTCCTGGGTTCAAATAGAAGCGTCTGTAGGATGTATGTATTGTCAATGGTTAAGAAATATTATAAAAAAACACTACATTGTAATTATCCTCGTGCTATTAAAAAATATATTCCACAAACGTATTTATTTAAATATTATTTAATATATTTGCAACAGTTCGTTAACGGTCGGTGACTGATTTATTATAAATCAATAATATCAGTGATTAAATCGGTATTTTTGAAATACCAATGAAGAAAAGAGAAATTTATTCAAATATTTGTGGCCATTTATGTAGTTTACCCAATTTAGTTCGGCAAGATGCGGTGAAATAATATAACGCGTGAAACCCGTCGGATAAAAACGCAACCGCCGAGCAACACAGTCCGCCATATCCCATCCCCAAACGAAGCTTGAAGATTTTCATGTTCATCTTGCCCTCACAAGCTCAAGGTTCCAAAGCGTCGTCCTCTCGCGCTCTCCCTCAAAACCCTAATTCCAATCATGGCAACCATCTCCAATCCTCTCCTCCTATCTCCTTCGGATCTCTCCACATCTCTGATCCTCCCTCTCCCTTGTCTCTCTCCACTTCCCCTCCAGGTATTCCCCCTTTCAGTTTTCCCTTTTTCTTCTTTGTTTGAGTGCTTCCTCGAAATCCCAATCTGGGTTTCTCTTTTTCTGTTGTTTTAGAGCTGTACTAGGTCGTAATGGAAGTTTGCACTGAAATATGAAAGTTCTAATCATAAAAGTTGCATTTCTTATGGCAGGCACCTTGGCTTCCGATGCACAGGTTTCAGCTGAATCCTCCAAAGAGGTAAACTTTCATGCTATTGTGAATCCCATTTTTTACCCTCCTAAATGCTGTTTCTTTCACGAAAGATAGTGGTAAATGGTGAAACTTCACTGCTGTTTTGTATGCGTCGCTGTCCACTTTTAGGGAACTTTACACTTGAAACGTTGGAATCGTAGAAGTTTACCTTTTTATTGCTAGTGAGCTAAAATTGACCTCCTTTTCTGTTAGGATCAGTTGAGAGAAGTAGACACGCCAAGTGTTAAGAGAACTTCAGTACACAGAAACAGGAGGACTAATTCTCATCCTAGAGGGAAAATGTCCGAAGACATGATTTCTACTCAAAATCATCAATCCACTGTGGCTCATGGGGGTGCTACTTATTCGGGAGGAAAAAGAACTCAGATGACAAATTTTAACCACTTGCTGAATTTCCATTACGACCCTATTGTTCGCTCTCGTCCACAACCACGGGGACCTCCTCCAAGAAGGCAGCGAAAGATTAAGCCTTATAATAAAGATTTATTCATTCAGGCAAATTTCAAGTTCGTTGTGTTGGATACTGGACATTACACTCCTGAATTGATGGATCCAGATAAGAATTTGCTGTGGGAGGATATTATTTGCGTGAGGTATTCCACTCCATTTCCAGTGCAATGCCCAATTTGTTTGGAACATCCTCAATGCCCACAAATAACGTCATGCGGTCATATTTTTTGCTTCCCATGTATTCTGCAATACTTGTTCATGGGCGAGGATGATCAGAAACGGGAGTGCTTCAAAAGGTGCCCTTTATGTTTTCTAATGGTATCCCAGAAGGATCTGTACACCATCTATATTGAGAATGTTAGACAATATTGTGTCGGCGATACCATAGAGTTTATGCTTCTTACACGAGAAAAAGATTCATTTGTTCCATCTCAGAAAAGTAAAAATGAGACAAACTACACGCAGTGTGGTGAAAATGAAATATATGATCCCTTTTCAAAGTTTATATTTACTTCAGATGTTGATCTGTCTGTCAGACAAGCTATGTCAGATTTAGACAGCTGGCTGGCCAGAGCAGATTCAGGGCTTGTTGATGATTTGGAGAAGCTTCCATATGTTTGTGCTGCGATGGAACAATTAGAACAGAGGAAGAAGTATTGGAAGGAGCACCGAGCCACTGATAGAAATAAAGCTCGTATAACTACTGTTTGTAAGGTGGAGTCTGATAGAGTATCTTTAAATGCTTCCAGCGCTAATGGTAATATACATAGTTCTGGAGGGAGAAAATTATCTTCTGAGGCTGATGAGCACAATAAGTGTATCTTTAACTCAAAAACAGACACCTCAAATGGAGGGAGTGGTTTGGATCATAGTGCTGTTGTAGGTGAATCTCTAGAAGCCGAAGACTCTTCTTTATCTTTATCAAATGAAGAAAGCAAGAACTTGCTAGAGTACTTAGATGGCTCCAAAGACACAAAGGACAACGGCTCTTACAATTTCTACCAGGTGACTAGTTTAAGATGTTAGTTTACGGGAGTTTACTATTTGGCCATTTTCCTGTTCAATAAAGTAGGAAATGAATTTTTATGTCTTTTCTTTAATCATATAAAATTATATAGAGTTATTATGCTGTTTGAGAGATTTTCTGTAGTAATTAGCTTGCTTAGGTTTTCTTTATTTCTCTGTGTTGCCTTCTTAATGGTAAGCATTTGCCTCGCTGGCATAAGTCTTAGTCACTTTGGTTTTAGATATATACTGGTTCAATAAAGTATTTTTGAATCATTTTAAAAGAGTGAACCATGTGACCATTTTGCTGTTCAATAAAGCAGGAAATGACATTTTATGGTCCTTTACAATATATATATATATATATAATTTTATCTGATTGATTTTCTGTTCTAATTAGCTTGCTTAGGTTTTATTTGCTCTATGATGTTCCCCTCTTGACAGCTTAAACTTTTGTATCTGTCACTACTGGTGATCATGAATGGGTATGATGCTTAGGCAAGGTGAAGCTAGAAACATTGTTAAGGGGACTGAAGTATATGTAATATATATATATATATATACAAAATATCCTAAGGAAAATATCCAGGTTGATATATTGGTAGGGGATCCAAGGCTTGCTGACAGTATTGGAATCTGCCCTCCAAAGATGAGGAAGGATACGTGCTGGCATCCTCCTCCACCTGATTTCTTTAAGTTCAATGTGGATGGGGCGGTAAGGTCTGATGGTTTACAAGGAGGAATAGGGGGAATTTTGAAAGACTCGAACTGCTCTAAGCTTATCTCCTTCTCTACTGCTGTGGGTCCAGGTCCGCCCATGTTTACTGAGTTGAAAGCAATCAAAGAGGGAATTGATGTTTTTCTTTCATCTCATTGGGCGGGGAAAGGAAGATTAGTGTTAGAGAGTGATTGTTCAACGATAGTGGATTGGATTTTGAGGCCTGTTTCGGCCCCCTCTTTTTTCAGGTCATTGGTTGGGGACATTGGTGCCTTAGTTACTGCTAAGGACATTTTGGTTAGATGGGTCCCTAGGAGCTGCAATTGTGAGGCGGATAAGTTAGCTAAGGAGGGGATAGGTTGAACGTTTATAGTTTCATCGATGTTATGTTTTGTTCTGTTAGGAGTTGTTAGTGTAAAGTGTATCTTATGTAACTCTGGGTATCAATAAAATTGAGGTACTCTTTTCCTCCTTCAGTTTGTTGCCTCTTTTTAAGAGGCAACGATGACGGAGGTTTTTAACGAGACCTCCTATTCCTATAAAATATATATATATATATATATATATATATATATTACACAAACACACTCATATATATGTATGTATATTATATATTAAAGGTTTATAGTAAAACAAATTCTAACAAAAGACATAAAATATAAGTTGTTTAATTTTGATATTAAAGTATAAATATAATTTATTAGTATTAAAATTTTCAAATGCTTTACAAGCTAGATTAAGCTTTGTGCAAGCAAATTTTTAATATCCTAGCTTGGCTTGATGACCATAAGCAACTTGAATATGGAAGTGTTAAATTTAAATCTTACATATATGGTATTAATGTTGCAAGCAATGTATACACTTATAATAACGAGCTGAAAGAATTTCCTTCTTTGAATATTACAATCAATGATGCATTTGTAATTCAAGTTTAAATGGTAAAAAGTATATAATCTTTGAAAATGATTTAAAATAGGCATAGAACTATTGCAGTTATTTATTTTTCATTTGTTTTTCTCCTATGAATATATAATGAAAAACACTAACACAATAATTAGTATGATTGTATCAATTTGATTGGTTTGAAGGTAATATATACTTTTTGTAGTGTCTTATCTTTCCCTTCATTTGTTTCAGGCATTGGATGGGCAGCACATCATTCTCCATCCTTTAAACGTGAAGTGTCTCCTACACCATTATGGAAGCTATGATTCATTTCCACACAGGTTTGAGGAAACCATGATTTATTGACTATGATGTGTATTAATATACAAGACAATGAAATTTAAACATGTGGGGATTATTGGCTGGGAAATTGATGACCAGTGTGTTTCAGTTTAGTCTTTTTAATTTGAACTTCTGAATTTCAGAGTAAGTGGAAGGATTTTAGAGTTGGAAACTGTCACTCAGTCTGAGGCAGTGAGGAGGCGTTATCGTTACTTAAGTCATTTTTCCTTGACAACAACCTTTCAGGTATGATTATGTTGCTGCATTTTCGTTCATTTTCAGATCTTGCTTTGTTTATCATTTTTAAAAGTGGCCTCTCTTTCAGCTCTGTGAAATTGATTTGAGTGGCATTCTTCCACCTGATGCTTTGCTTCCATTTATGGATGAAATCAAGAGGCGTGAAAAACAGAGGAAGCAGCTGGCTAGAAAGGTACTGTTTCATGGGCGCTATCATTTAATACTCTTTTGATGCGCAAGGTTTAATTCTATTGGGAGGAATAAAAGCCTATTAGGTGGCTGTTGAGTTATAAACTTCCAATATTAATTCATGTCATTCTGGTGTTAAAGTCGTCTAGGTTTGGAGTCAAAAGGGAGTGCTTTTTTTAATTGTCAAAGGGGTATAAATATGATTATGGATTGTCACAAATTACAGTTTAAGATTCTAGAAAGATTATATTATTATTTTTAGGTAGTGTAACATGATTTTGTACTTGCTTTTAGATTCAGATATTTATTCTTATTTGTAGGAACAAAAGGAGAAAATCAAGGCTGAAGTTGCTGCAACAGTGCAGTTTACGCCCATGATATCTAGTTCCGGACACTCCTCTTACAATGATTCCCCTTCTTTCTCTATGGATGACTTTGAAGGTAATACTATTATATCTTGCATTTGTTCATATTACAATGCCTTGCATTTTATTTTGGGGTGTCTGGTTATGTTTGAACTATGTAGTATGAGGAACTTCACCGTGTTGCAATGCTTTTCTCATTAAGCTGGTGGGTTCTAAATTTGCCATACAAGGGTTGTTGTAGCTGGTCTATTCTTTGGCACTAAAAGTTTTCAGCTCATAAAGATACCATCACCTTATATTATAATTTTGGTGTTATCGTATGACAGCTCTTGGAAGTTCTAATGTGATATCAAGTTCCCCTGTGACGGGCGAGAGAAAACTGTTTTCAAATGTTACGAGGCTTGGTTTTGCTGCTGCACATGATTCTCCTTCATTGAAAATTGAGGAAGGAAACGGTACACATTACAATGGGGTGGCAACTGATTCCTCAGGTTCAGCTGGTAATGCTCTGATTCTAAATTTTAAAGGAGGATATTGTCCAAGTCTCTGGTTCTCCAGTTATTCAGATATTGATGGGTTTGTTATAAAAATCGGTTTCTTAAACTTTTAAGCCCTACCTAGGTTAACCTGCTCTCATCTATGTTTTCTTCAGGCTCAAGAAATTCAGGCACACCTTCATTTGCCAATGTGATATCAAGAGCAAAGGCTGCTGAAAATTTGCAGACGCCTAAGATGAATGAAATGGGGAAGAAAGGAAAGAAAGGAGGCCGGGTCCTTTTGTCCACGACTAGTGGTCGACGCTATTGATATCTTGGACTCGACTCAAATTTGTTTGGCCTTCATAACCAAGGGGAATAACTTTGTTTGGTCTTTTTTTTTTAATCTCATCTTTGTGAATTAACCTGACTGGCTTTAGGTGATATTGGAAGATTAAAACGTAAACTAGCATTATAAAATTTCCTGTTACGTAGATCTATGGTGATATTGGGCTCGATTGGCTTCATTTCTGGTTTGGGTTTCGTTCAAAAGTACCGATTCTTACTCCCGATCATCGTCTCTCTGTTTCTGCTCCCTAATTTTGCACTAGACTAGATGATGAACAGTGTTTTGTTTTATTAAACTTAACTAGAACTAGTATGAGAAATAACAGAAATAAATGAATCACACCACTATTGCAAGCAAAGGCAGTACAAGCAGCACATGATGAGCTTCATTCAAGGCAGCACCCGGAACACCAACCAAGAAATTTCTAACGTTTCTTCTATAAAAAAGGATTATTTTATAATCACCATTCGGATTTTCAGAATGCAAGAAAGGCAGTATATGGTGTTTCTCGGGTTTGAGCACCAGCAACTATGAAATATTTGAGCGTTTATTATTAAATGGTTGAGTCTTTAGAATAGATTTTACTAGTCACCCTAGATTAGTTAAAAAAACTTTTATAATAAAGAGATTCCTTTAAATTATGATCCACAGTTAACATCATCCATCTCTTAATCTCCTATTCACTGTTATTCTTTGTTTGTTTTTAATTTAGACTTTCTTCCTACTGATTACCGGTTCAAAAATGACGGAAGCTGTCATCAATGCAGCCGTAGAAGTGGCTCTGTTTTCACCATGTTACCGCAATCGTTAACCGTCAAAAAAATCTAATGTGGCATGTTTGAAAGACTGAGTTAAATTGTTTCACTGTGTTTAGCTTTACAGTGCCTTCTATGATATTAACAATTGAGTTGAACTGTCAACGCACTTTCTCGACCATCTTCAAAGATGTACTTTTCACACTTTTTATGGTCATAGCAGAGAATCAATAAGGAAGCACTGTCCTAACAAGCAAACCGATAAAAAATTTAAGTCAATATATTAACTATTAAAATGGTAATGTGGCTCACGAAGGCACCAAAAAGAGTATTATTGTAACAATGAATTAATCAGAATAAAATATTAAAATAGGAATTAATTTTTTGAGGGATGGTATTTGTAAGAAGGCCCTAAAAAAACAGAAAGAAAAGTCAGAGATACCTTATTGGTTGCGCCTCTTAAATCGTCACCGTCATCAGGTTGATTGTTCTCCTCCCAAATCCATCACAATTCTCCCTATTGTACGTAAAACTGTGACATCGTCATTAACCCTACGATCATACAGAACTCTTGAGATCTTTCAAATCAAACGGTGAGTGGTACAAGCTCAGTTTATTTGGATAGCACGATAAGCAGACTAGCTATTAATCCACCAGTCAAATTTCAACTTTCGGTTTTTTCAATAAAGAAGATTCCTTTAAATTATTGCAGCAGCCCTTATTGATTCCTTATCTTATCTCCATTCACTCTCATTCTCGGTTGTTTTCTTTCAGACCTTCCTTTAACTGATTACCAATTAAAAAATGGCCGACGCTGTCATCAGTACAGTAGTACAAGTGGCTCTGTCTATGGCTATCTCAATCCTTGAAGACCCAATCAACCTTGCATGGGATTTTAAGGACCAGCTGAACAAGCTTCGTTCCTCACTCGCTCTCACTCAAGCTTTCTTGCAAGATGCACAGAAGAGACAACTTGATGAGCCTGTCAAAGTCTGGTTGGAGCAGCTGAGCAATATTGCTTGTAAGGCTAATGATGTCTTGGATGAGCTTGCTTACAAACATATTCGCATGAAGGTGGAGACCCGAAAGAGAACAAAGGTCAGCAACTTCTTTTCTCCCTCCAAAAATACCCTGGCAATTACTCTAAAGATGGCCAAAAAGGTTAAGAGTATTAACCAATCCATTAAGGATGTTAACTGTTGGGCCACTGAGTTAGGACTCCAACAACGAGTTCAAGTTTCAGTTCCTGTGTCTAGTGGAGTAGGAGGCACCCACTCCCTTGTTGACTCATCTCGTGTTGTGGGAAGGAAAGCTGATATCCAAAGAGTAGTTGATCTCTTGATTGGTTCAACGGCTCACCAAAGTTTGTCAATAGCATCCATAATAGGCATGGCTGGTATGGGAAAAACCACTTTAGCAAAATCTGTATGCAACAATGACGAAGTACAGAACCATTTTAAGACAATAATATGGGTCTGTGTAGCTGAAAATTTTGATGCCCGAAGGATTTTAGTAGAGATGTTAGAATCTCTAACTAGAAAGCCTTGTGAGATCAAGAACCAGGATGTTGTACTTCGTGAAATACAAAAGGAGTTGAAGGAGAAGAGATTCCTTCTTGTCCTCGATGATGTGTGGGATGAGGACATTAAAAATTGGGAGGACTTAAAGAGCAGTTTGCAGGGAATAAAAGAAAGTAAACAAAGTTGGATTCTTGTCACAAGTCGTAGTGAAAATGTTGCGTTAGTAAGGGAAACAACGCCTAATCACAGACATCATCTTAAGGAAGTGATAGATGAGGAGTGCTGGTCCATTATCAAAGAAAGGGCATTTGGAAACTCTTCCCTATCTCCAGAACTGGAAGCTATTGGAAGTGATATTTCTCATAGATGTGGAGGCGTGCCATTGGTCGCAACTGTTATAGGTGGAACTATGTGCAACAAATGGGATAAAGACGAGTGGTTGTCGCTACGAGATAGCTCTCTTTGGGGTTCAATAGAAAAGAATGAAGGAACTGTACGGGTTCTGAAATTAAGTTTTGATCGTTTGTCTTCCCCTTCTTTAAAGCAGTGCTTTGCATATTGTTCCATTTTTCCTAAGGATTTTAGGATCGAAAGGGAGGATTTGATCCAACTTTGGATGGCTGAAGGCTTTCTTCAACAACCCAAAGGAAGTTCACATCTGGCGTTTGAGGATATTGGTAATGAGTACTTCAATAACTTGTTATCGAATTCCTTATTGCAAGATGTGGAAAAGGATTTGTACGGATGCATTACAAGTTGCAAGATGCATGATTTGGTTCATGATCTTGCTCAGTCCGTTTCACATATTAGGCAACAGCAGAGTGTGCTTGATGATGTGAAATTGTGGCACTCTTTATTCTGGAGTTCTGGAAGCTCCTTCCACATGGTAGTGGACTTCAAAGGTTTGCGGGTTCTTAAATTTGGTGGTGCTGATATTAAATCTTTGCCAGATTCGATTGCCAAGCTAAAGCATTTGAGATACTTTGATATATCAAAAACGCTTATTCGTAGACTACCAATGTGCATTTGTCAACTCTACCTTTTGGAGACAATAAGATTATTGTGTTGTTATTTGCTTGAACCACTTCCTGCTGGAATGAAAAATTTAGCCAACTTAAGGCATTTATATATCAACAAAAGATGTCATGTTCCTGTGGAGATAGGATGCTTAACTAGTCTTCGTACTTTGCCGTTATTTGAGGTGGGTACAGAAAGGGGAAGAGGAATTGGGGAATTGGGATCTTTAGTTGAACTTGGAGGAGAACTGGGTATCAATGATCTTCATAATGTTAGAGACAAGGAAGAAGCTTGGGGAGCAAGATTATGGGAGAAGACGAAATTGCACAAGTTGACATACCAATGGGACTATGAAAGGGAAGGATACAACAAGGATGAGGAAGTGTTGGAAGGGTTGGAGCCTCACTCAAATTTGAACAGCTTAACTATTGAGTATTACAAGGGAGAGTATTGTCCATCATGGTTGGTAGGGAAGGTTGGTGGTGACCCAAGTGCTTCTTTTCAACTCGTGAATCTGGTTGAGTTGAAACTATTCCGTTGTGTGAATGTGAAGAATCTTCCAACACTTGGGCAATATCCCAATCTCAAATTTCTTGAAATAGAAGGCTTACACAGTGTGAGAGGCATAGGAAATGGATTTTATATGAATGGTTGTAATGAGAATAAGCCACTCATCTTATTTCCAGCATTGGAAGTTTTCACCCTAGAGAATATGGAAGAAGTTAAAGAATGGTTAGAAGTGGAGTCCACAATTCCTGCGTTTCCATCATTAAAAGAGTTGAACCTTATTACCTTACAGAATGTCCCATGCTAAACAGTGTTCCAATAATGAGTGGATTTTCTTCTCTCGAGAAACTCACCATTGTCTGGTGTTCTAAGTTAGGTTGGATGGGCGATGAACCATTTTCCTCTTGTCTCAAAAGTTTAACAATAGAGGACTGCGAGAACCCAAGGTCCATTCCTAGTTTAGATGGTTTGTCCTCTCTTTTAGAATTCAAGCTGAAAACATGCGATGGATTAACAAGTCTACCATCTGGATTGTCAACTTGTACTTCTCTTCGATGCTTGTTCATAGACTGTTGCAGGAATCTGGAGTCAATTCCAGAAGATGTAGGACAACTGCATTCTCTTGAAGAATTGCGTATTGGTTATTGTCGAAAGTTGAAAAGGCTCCCGAAAGAGAGCCTTGGGTGCCTTACAAGTTTGAAGAAATTGGAATTGGTATAAAGGCACGGTTGTAACAGATTGAGCATTTTATGATTGAATCTAATGAATTTATCTTCTTCTTCTTCAAATTCTCCTCTGTTTCTTCAATCCATCTTCAATTCTTCTTCTATTTCCTTCAAATTCACAGCAAGTTCATGATAAATTCCCAGGTCTTGGTTCCATCCACCACCTCCACTCTTCCCTCATAGAATTGAGATTGGTTGGATGAGATAAACCATGCTCTCTTCTGAGTTCAGAATTTATGCTTTGTCAAAATATGGTGCATCTGCCTTCCAAGAAAGCCTCGCAACGCAATCTACAACCTGCATTCGGTCCATATAAACTTTTTTTCCACAATTAGAAGAAAATCAATGGGGCTTCAATGGGGTAAGTTTTACTTTCTTCGAGCACAAAACATCCCCTGCAAGTATATTATTCCATCATTTCATCATAATGACAAGACTTGATTACTTTCTCTGTGCAGTTCAGTTGTGACCAATGTAGCACAAAAGATTTTCATTTACACTGCACAAAGTATTTGTCCACAGCTGGAGGATGATGCTATTGATATCAACTCCACTCGAATCAATTTTGTTTTGCCTTCATAACCAAAGAAATAGAATAATTTCATGTAGCCTTTCCTGTATCGCCTTTGTGAGAACTTGACTGGCTTTAGGCTTGCAACATTTCCTGTTATGTAAATCCACGGTTCTGTAGTTCTTTAATTTTGTAGAGTTGAAGCTAATTGGAGAAATGGATTACAAATTTCTAATTCTTCCCTCTCACAGAATTCAATTACATTTCAGTCATGTTGGGGCGTTTCACATGTTCTAATGTTGTCATGGGCATTTCAATAAGAAACCCCAATAGAAAAGAGGAAAGGACTCAATGACAATGAGGATTCAAACTGATTCCAGAATATTAGCAGCCGACATAGAGCAATCTAAATGGCAGTGACAAGTACTGCAATGATAATTGAATTTGGAATTTCATGAAAAAATGGAATTAATTGGAACAAGAGAATAAACCAGTTCTACTTCACAGTGCAGTAAAGTTTCTACAACATTACATTTGGTACATAGTAAATGTGCTGAAGCCGGTAGTATTGCAGTGCAAGCAACTTAACCTCAAGACAACTTTGGAGTTCAACTATTGAGAGAGGTAAACTAGTTGCTGAAGCAGTGGAATTTTGACAGCTTTTGCCTGTCTGATCACTCGCACTATTTATCTTGTTTACCTTCATATCTTGCTTTGTTTATCTTTTTTAAAAGTAGCCATGTGTTTCAGCTTTGTGAAATTGATTTGACCAGTGTTCTTCCTCCTGATGCTTTGCTTCCACTTATGGATGGAATCAAGAGGCATGAAACCGATATCGATAATATTTTGTACGTGGTTCTAGATTCAGATATTTTATTCTTATTTATAGGTGCAGCCGGTAATTCTCCGATGCTGTTTCAAGAAGGATATGATCAGAGTCTCCTGTTTCTCCAGTTCTGCAGATATTGCTGTGTTACAAATTCCTTACTGTAAAGAAACGAGAAAATAGAGACAAGATTTAAATTTCTAACTCTTTCAACAAGGAAGATTCCTTTAATTTACGTTACAGCTGACGTTGCTGATCCCTATGAATAAAAAAAAAGCATCGTTGATTCCTATGGAAAAAAGACACTGTTGATTCCTATGAACAACAAAAGAGAAAAACACATTGTTGATCCCTTATCTGCCATTCACTGTTATTCCCTATTGTTCTCTGTGAGACCTTCATTCAACCGATTACTGATTCAGAAATGGCCGACGCCATCATCAGTGTAGCCATACAAGTGGCTCTATCCAAGGCTATTTCCATCCTTGAAGAATAAATCAACCTTGCATGGGATTTCAAGGAAGAGCTGAAGAAGCTTCGTTCCTCGCTCTCACTCGAGCTTTCTTGCAAGATACAGAAAGGCCTGTTAGAGTCTGGTTGTAGCAGATAAGAGATATTGCTTATGAGGCTGATGATGTATTGGATTCACTTGCTTGCGAACATCTTGGCAAGAAGGTGGACACCCGAAAGAGAGCACAGTTCAGCAACTACTTTTCTCCCTCCAAAAATCACATGGCAGTTTCTCTAAAGACGGCCAAAAAGGTTAAGAGTATTAGACAATTCATTTAGGATGTTAACAACCGCGCCACTGAGTTAGGACTCCAACAATGAGTTCAAGTTTCGGCTCTAATGTCCAGCGGAGTAGGAGGTGTCCATTCCTTTGTTGACACATCACGTGTTTTTGGAAGGGAAGCCGATGTCCGAAGAGTAGTTGATCTCTTGATTGTCTCAACCACTCACCAATGCTTGTCAATAACATCCATAGTAGGCATGGCTGGTTTGTGAAAAACTACTTTAGCAAAGTCTGTATGTAACAGTGACAAAATACAGAACTTAAGACCATCATATGGGTCTGTGTGGCTGAAACTTTCGATGTCCGTAGGATTTTAGTGGAGATGTTGGAATCTGTAACTAGAAAACCTTGTGAGATCAAGAACGAGGATGTTGTACTTCGAGAAATACAAAAGGAGTTGAAAGAGAAGAGTTTCCTTCTTGTCCTCGACTATGTTTGGGATGAGGACAATAAAAATTGGGATGACTCAAAGGGCAGTTTGCAAGGAATAGATGAAAGTAAACAAAGTTGTATTCTTGTGACAAGCCGTAGTGAAAATGTTGCATTAGTAAGAGAAACACCTCCTGATCAGAGGCATCATCTTAAGGCAGTGATAGACGAGGAGTGCTGGTCCATTATCAGAGAACGGGCATTTCAGAACTCTTCCCTATCTCCAGAACTTGAAGCTGTTGGAAGGGATATTGCTCATAAATGTGGAGGTGTGCCATTGGTGGCAACTGTTATAGGTGGAACAATGTGCAACAAATGGGATAGAGAAGAGTGGGTGTCACTCAGGGATAGTCCTCTTTGGGGTTATTTAGAAAAGAATGAAGGGATTATCCGTGTTCTAAGATTAAGTTCCGATTGCTTGTCTTCCCCATCTTTGAAGCTGTGCTTTTTATAATGTTCCATTTTTCCTAAGGATTTTAGGATCCAAACGGAGCAATTGGTCCAGCTTTGGATGGCTGAAGGCTTTCTTCATCAATCCAAAGGAAGTTCACAACTGGCACTTGAGGATATTGGTAATGAGCACGTCAATGACTTGTTATCAAACTCCTTATTGAAGGATGTAGAAATGGATTTGTACGGATGTATTACAAGGTGCAAGATGCATGATTTAGTTCATGATATTGCACAGTTCATATCTCATGTTAAACTACAAAATGTGTTTGATGGTGTGGAACTGTGGCACTCTTTATTCTTAAATTCTGGGAGCTTCATACACATGGTAAGGGACTTCAAAGGTTTACGGGTTCTTAAGTTTGGCGGCGTTGATATAGCATCAGTATCAGATTCAATTTCCAAGCTAAAGCATTTGAGATACTTTGATATTTCAAAAACTCTCATTGAGAGACTACCGAAGTCCATCACTCAACTCTACCTTTTGGAGACATTAAGATTATTGATGTGCTTTAAGCTCAAAAAACTTCCTCGAGGAATGAAAATTTTAGTCAGCTTGAGGCATTTATATCTCAGTTTTGGACGCCATGTTCCTGTTGAGATAGGACGTCTATCTATTATTCGGACTTTGCCATTATTTGAGGTTTGTACAAAGAGGGGAAGACAAATCGGGGAATTGGGATTTTTAGTCGAACTGGGAGGAGAACTGGTCATTCGTGGTCTCAAGAATGTTAGAGATAAGGAAGAAGCTATGGGAGCAAGATTATGGGAAAAGAAGAAATTGCAGAAGTTGATATACTTATGGAACTATGGAAGGGAAGGATGCAGTAAGGAGGAGGAAGAGTTAGAAGGGTTGGAGCCTCACTCAAATTTGAAAAGCTTACAAATTGTTCTTTTTAAGGGAGAGTAATATTCATCATGGTTGGTACAGAAGACTGGTGGTGTCCCAAGTCTTCTTTTCAACCCACGAATCTGGTCGATTTGAAACTACTACGTTACCAGAATGTGAAGATTCTTCCAACTCTTGGCCAATATCCCAACCTCAAATTTCTTCACATAGAAGGATTAGATAATGTGAGGTGCATAGGAAATGAATTTTATACAATTGTTGTGTTCCCTTCACTAAAAGTGTTGAACATTATAGAATGTGACAGTCTAAACATTGTTCCAAGAATGAGTAGATTTTCTTCTCTCGAGAAACTCGAGATCTACAAGTGTTCTAAGTTGAGTTGGATAGGCAATGATCCATTTCCCTGTAGTTTCAAAGAATTAAAGCTGAATGGATGCAAAAGTCTACCATCTGGATTGTCAACTTGTTCTTCTCTACGACAATTGTTCATAGTTGATTGCATTAATCTGGAGTCGGTTCCAGAAGATGTAGGGAAATTGAAATTTCTTGAGGAATTTCATATTAGCTATTGTCAAAACTTGAAGAGTTTCCCAGAAGACAGCCTTGGGTACCTTACAAGTTTGAAGAAGTTGGAATTGGGTCCTTTTTCAGAAGAGCTAGAAGGAATTTAGGTAGAATGGATGGGATAAACCATGCTCTTTGCCACATCAACTTCAACATCTCACCGCACTCGAGCAGTTAGAAATTCGGGGTTTTGATGGAATGAAATGCTCCGCCAGAGTGGTTGGGAAACCTCTCTTCTCTTCGGATTTTATGTTTCAAGGATTGTGAAAATCTGGTGCATCTTCCATCCAAGGAAGCCTTGCAACGTCTCTCCAATCTGCATTTATTCCATATATTCCATTGTCCGCGCTTACAAGCAAACAATGCCGAGCTGTCAAAGTTCCCCTGCAATTATATTATTAAATGATTTTCTCAAGCGCCTGAGGCTTCAATGGGGTAAGCTTTACTTTTCTCAAGCACAAAACATCCCCTTCAATTATATTATTCCTTCATTTGTTCATAATGACGAGACTTGGTTACTTTCACTGTGCAGTTCAGTTGTAGCCAATGTAGCACAAAAGATTTTCATTTACACTGCACAAAGTATTTGTCCACAGCTGAAGTACAACGCTATTAATATCTCCACCTCAACTCCACTAGAATCGATTTTGTTTGGCCTTCATAACCTAAAAAAGAGAATAGTTGTGTAGCACTTTTTGTCTCGTTTTTGTGAATTAACTCAGACTGCCTTTAGGCTTGCAGCATTTCCTGTAATGTAAATACACAATTCTGTGGTTCTTTAATTTCTCAGAATTGAAGCTAAGCTGATTGAAGAAATGAATTGCATGTTTCTGATTCTTCCTTTTCACAGAATTCAATTACATTTTCAGTCATTCTCACAGTAGAAAACAGCAAAAGAGCCAAAAGACAATCAGAACTCAACTGATTCCAGCGTATTAGAAGCCAGAATAGAGCAACCTAAATGGCAGTGACACGTAAAGAAATGATAATTAAACTTGAAATTTCAACATGAAAAATGGAATTATATTGGAACAAGAGAATAAACTAATTCTAGTTCACAGTACGGTGAAGTTTCTACAACATTACATTTATTAAATAGTAAATGTCCTGAAGCCGGTCGTATCGCATAGCAAGCAACTTAACCTCGAGTCGACTTTGGAGTTGAAGAATTGAGAGGTAAACTAGTTGGTGAAGCTGAGGAATTATTGACAGCTCTAGCCTGCCTGATGTTGGGCTTAGTGAACCAAGTTGTATACAGAAATTGTTTGTGAGGTCCCACATGGTTACATATTAGCCTAATCTTCTGTCTTTCTCTCATCCATCTCAGCACGATCTTCATATGGCTCTTTCCCGTAAGTCCTCTCAACCCAACCTCCTGAACTCATACAACATTTTTACTTCATTATGTCAAACAAAGGCTATTTCACTCACATGCAAGCAAAGCATAAAGTCGATACAGCAGTTAATACACCACTAATACATCTACATAACAAGTTGTAACTCTGCATTTGTTAAAAGACAATGATGCATGGAATTGTTAATTTATGGTGATAATGAATTACAAGACTGACGAACCTTAACTCGTTCCCAAGTATCACCGACGGTGAGGGGGCCATGCTCCTTGAGAATGTCAAATATGACTCTGGTTATGGTCTGTGTTTGCTCTGGCGGCATTGTCAGCTCGATTGGCTTCATTTTTGGTTTGGGTTTTGTAGAAAAGTACCGAACCATACTCCCAAACATCTCTCTGTTTCTGCTCCCTAAATTTGCAGTAGAGTAGAAGAACCCAGTTTTATTTCATTCAACAAAACTATAACAAATTTAGTAAGAGAGAACAAAAAGGAAAAAAATAAAATAAAACTTACCTCCTCTTTCACTACTATTGCAACTTTAAATTATTGATTGCAAATAATTCAAATGTCAAGAAGCCATAAAAGCAAGAAAATGAAATGTATGGTTGACATGTTGACCGGTGTTGGCTAGACGGAGTAAACTTTACGAAGTGTGCTGGTCCATAATCAAAGAAAGCACATTTGGAAACTCTTCCCTATCTCCCAAAATGGAAGCTATTAGAAGGGATATTGCTCATAAATGTGGAGGTGTGCCATTTGTAGCAATTGTTATAGGCAGAACAATGTGCACAAAATGGGATAGAAACAAGTGGGTTTCATTCAGGGATAGTTCTCTTTGGGGGGTTTTTAGGAAAGAAAAAAGGAATTGTATGTGTTCTGAAATCCAGTTTTATATCCTTGTATTCATCAATTAAAATAGGCATTGGTATTGAGATTTCAATACATTTCCAAAAATTTCAAACACAAGAATCAATCACATTTACTAACAACAATCGTGGCATCAGAATACATTTCATTCTCTTGAATCGACTGAATTTCACCACCACAGAGAACACACTTCTAATTCACTTCTACAGCTCGTTAATCCCAAACCCAGAAATAAAAGAGAACAAAGAAATGCATGGAATTTCAGGCATATGGACAAAGAATAAACTTCCTATTAAAGACGAATATAACCAATGTTACTTCAGTTTCAGATAAACCCCACAACTAATTCAGCACAAAAAAAGGTATTCACAGTATCAAAACTAAAACAAATTCTAAGGATTTTCCCCGGGGGGGGGGGGGAACAAAGGTTAAAAGATGGACACTAAACACCAAAAAAGAGGTTTTTGAATGAACAAAGAGAAGATGCCATACCTGAAAGCCAATACCCAGAAAAGACGAAAAAGACTTGAACACCGCAGTTGAAAGGGAGAGAGAGATAAGGGAGGAAGCTAAACAGCAGCGAGTAATTTGCCTGAGAAGAGAAGAATATATGCGACGGAGCCGGAGATACAGAGAGACATTTGCACAGCTGAGGAAACGCTGAGTTTTACAAAAGATTTTATTATTTAGAGTAAATTACAAAAATCATCATTGATGTATAAATAAGTTTATATTTTCGATACTAAAATTTTAAAAATAACGAAATTATTACTAATGATATTATTTTATAACAAATTGATCCTTCAATTATTAACAATCACAAAAAAATAGTTATTAGTCTTTATGTTTTTTATGATCATAACATAGAATCAAAAACATTATCCTAACAAATAAATTGATAAAAAATTTAGAGATCAATGCATCAACTGTTGAGATAAATTAAATAAAAGGATTGGGAGTGGCAAAATTGAAATATAAGAATGCTTTTCAAAAAAAAATTCTAATACAGAGAAACTAAAAATCAATTGGAAAAAATTTAAAAAAAGCCACGTGGGGCGCACGTTTACGGTTTTCTCTGGGTGCACGTTAGCAGGGCTAACGAAATCTGAGTTCTCCAGTGCGTTCTTGACGGTTTTCTCTTGATTTCTGATCGGTTTTTCTCGTCTTGGCGTTTCTCTGGCTCTTTGTTTAGGATGAATGTTGGTTTGATGGATTGGAGGAAGCTCTTTGGGAGCACCGCTGAGCAGACCTTGGAGTTTTTCCCCCAAATTGTTCGAGAAGGGTCTCTGATTCCTTCGGTTCAGCCACCTTCAGAGGTCCTTGAGGCGGGTATCTCGGAGTGGAAATTGTCTCTTGTAGGGTAATTTCTTGGGCCAGCTCCTCCGTTAGCCTCTGTGAAGCGTATTATGGAAATTTTGTGGAAGGTGGGTCTTGCGGGTTCAGGTGTACATGTCAGTTTTGCAGGTAGGAATTTGTTTGTTTTCTCATTTTGCTCTGAATTTGCTCGTGACTGGGTTTTGGATAATGGGACATGGCATGTTCAGAATAAGTCTTTAATCTTGAGGAAGTGGGAACCTAGTATGAAGCGTTTAGAGTTTGATCTTTCTCGTATTCCTGTATGGGTTCAACTTTACAACATTCCTTTGGAGCTTTACTCACGTACTGGATTAAGCTATATTGCCAGTGCGTTGGGTGTGCCTTTGTCTATGGACTCTGTGACTGCGTCCAGGACTAGATTGGAGTATGCAAAAGTTTGTGTTGAAATTGGAGTGAATGATACGATCCCAAAATTTGTAGATGTTGTGTTGCAGGATGGTTTTGCTGTGTCGATTAGGGTTGTAGTCCCCTGGTTACCCCCTTGTTGTCTGAGATGTAATGTTTTTGGGCATAGTGAGAAGGCTTGTCCTGAGCATATGCCCCAACCTGCTGTGATTCAGGTCTGGAGGAAGAAAGGGGATGTTAATTGTCCTGAAATCCCTGCTGTTGATAGTACAGAGGCATTAAAAGTAGCTAATGAACCTACTGGTGAAAGGTTGGAGAGTTGTGGGGCGGACAAGTGTTCTGAAATGCCCGTTGTTGGTGGAATTGAGGTTTTGCAGGAATCTGGTCAACCTGTTGGTAAGGAGCTGGAAAATTGGGTAAATTCTCAGGTGGATGAGTTGGTTGTGGACTTGATTAATGAAGCTAAGGTTGCTAGTGAGGGGTCTGCTAAGCCTGCTGCTGTGGATTTCCCTCCTTTGCAAGCTTCCTCTCAGAAAAAGAAGACCAAGAATAAAGCTAAAAAGCAATTGGCTAGCTCTTCTAATCGTTTTGAGGTTTTGATGGCTACTGCTGGTTTAGAAGGAGGTAGGAAGCCCCGCGTGGCTTCCATGGGCGTTGGTGCCCTCTTAAATGAGATGAAGCATAAGAAGAAGGACCTTGTTGATAAGTCAGTGGGTACTGTTGCTGAAGCTGTTGGGGGGAGGCTAATCCAGCTCAATGATTATATGTTTTTGGAATATTAGGGGCTTCAATAATCCCCTGAAACAAAAGTAAGTTTTTGCTAGATTGGGTAAACTCAATGTAGATATTATCTGCCTTATGGAAACTCGAGTGAGGACTGTTAATGTGTGCAAGTTGGTTGATTGCTATTCCTTGGATTGGAATTGTTTCACAAATCACGAGTGTTCTGACAACGGTAGACTGTGGATTTTCTGGAGGAAATATCTTTCTTTCTCAGTCTTGAAAGTTTTTGATCAGTCTTTATCTTTTGTTGGTGATATTGGTGGCCATAGATGTGTTATAACTGCAGTCTATGGCAGTAACAGTGGTTCTGACAGACTGTGCCTCTGGAGGTAGTTGGAAGAGGTGGAAAGCTTGGTGGGGGAGTCCTCCTGGCTAATAGGAGGTGACTTCAATACCTTCATTAATGCTGAAGAAAGCTCAGACTTTGAGAGGCTTGGGCCTTATTACACTGCTGAAATGGAGGCTTGTAGGAGCTGTTTGTCTTCCTTGGGGCTCTTTGACCACTCCTATGTGGGTTCTTTTTTCACATGGTCTAATAAACAAGAAGAGAATTTCTTGGCACGTAAATTGGATCGAGTTCTTATTAAATCCCGGTGGCTTGAAGATTTCCCAAGTTCTTTTGTTGAGTTTATAACTCAGGGGGTTTCTGATCATTGCCCTGCTGTGATTTCTTTTTTCAAGGACAACCAGGCTGACAGGCCCAAACCTTTCAAGTTTTTCAATTGTTGGGCTAATCATGGTGATTTCAAGAGTGTTGTTAAAGAGTCTTGGCAGCTAGAACTGTCCGGCTCTCCTATGTTTTGCCTTTTTGCTAAGCTGAAAAGGCTCAAGTTAAGACTTAGGGAGTTCAACAGAAGTCATTTTGATGACATTTCAAGCAGGGTAAAGGCCAAAAGAGCCCAGCTTGAGAAGATGCAACTTGCAAATCTTTCACAAGCTGGTTGTCATTTTGTAGAGGAGAAGATTATTTTTAATGAACTTCAAGAGCTTGAGGTGGCTGAAGCTTCTTCCTATAAGCAAAAAGCCAAAGTCCATTGGTTGAAAGAGGGTGACAGAAATACAAAATTTTTTCACTCTACTGTAATGAGGAAAAGAAAGAGAAACACGATTATATTACTCTATGCTGAGGATGGTTCTCGGTTGGATTCTTTTGATGCAATGTCTGCTGAGATGTTGAGATTTTACACTGACTTGCTTGGTTTTGAAGATGCTGGGGTTAAAAGTTGTGGTGTTGATCTTCTCAAAAGTCTGTTGGGGTATGAGCTTCCTTGTGCTACTGCTGCTTCATTAGTTGAGGATGTCTCTAATGAAGAAATTAAAAATTCTTTGTTCAGGCAAGGTAACGAAAAGAGCCCTGGGCCAGATGGTTATACGGCTCATTTTTTTAAGATGGCTTGGGATATTGTGCAGGATGATTTTCTGACTGCTATTAGGGATTTTTTCCAGTCTGAAACTCTGCTACCTGCTTTCAACGCTACAACAATTGCCTTGGTGCCTAAGACTCCTAATGCTGGTATGGCTAAAGACTTTCATCCCATATCTTGTTGCTCGGTTGTCTATAAAACCATCACTGGTATCATTGTTAAACGGTTAGCTAGTTACTTCCCTGACATGATTTTGCCAAATCAATATGCTTTCATTAAAGGGCGTAGTATAGTCGATAACACACTCTTAGCTCAAGAGATTGTTAGGGGATACTCCCGCATATCACTTTCCCCTAGGTGCACCCCTAAAGTTGATTTAAGAAAGGCTTTTGATTCTGTTTCTTGGGACTTCTTGATGAATGTTCTTGCTTCCTTGGGGCTTCCTGAAAAGTTTAGGGATTGGATTTCTGCATGTGTCACTGGTGCTAGATATTTTGTGGCATTTAATGGTAGTTTAGTGGGTTTTTTTAAAGAGAGGAGGGGAATTAGACAGGGCGACCCACTGTCCCCTTATCTCTTTGTTCTTATTATGAATGTGTTGTCCCACTTGTTAAATAATGCTGCCAAGGATGGGCTTATCCGGTTTCACCCTAAATGTAAGAGTGTTCTTCTCACCCACCTCAGCTTTGCTGATGACTTGTTAATTTTTTGTCATGGGACTGAGACTTCTATTTTTGGTGTTGTTAGTGTTCTTGAGACCTTTTATGAGTTGTCTGGGCTGCAGTTAAATGCTGGAAAAACTGAGTTGTTCTCTTGTGGTGTACATGAGGATGTTTTGAGAAGAGTGCAGGCTATTACTGGATTTAATTTGGGTAAGTTCCCTGTTAGGTACCTTAGTGTGCCATTAGTTACCAGGAAACTTACTGCTAAAGACTGTCTTCCTTTGGTTGATAAGATTAGAAGTAAGTTGTCTTTGTGGTCCAAGCTGAGGCTGAGTTATGGTGGCAGAATGCATCTTATCCAATATGTTTTATTCAGTATTTCCAATTACTGGTGCAGGCAGTTGGTATTGCCTAGTGATGTCATTAGGCAGGTTGAGCAACTTTGTATGCGGTTCTTCTGGAAGGGGGATGATACTCCTGCCAAGGGGGCTAGAGTTAGCTGGAATCAAGTCTGTTTGCTAAAGTCTGAAGGTGGTTTGGGCCTTAAAAGTCTGGGCTGCTGGAACAAGGTTTGTTGTTTTTTGCTGATCAGAAATATCCTTGCAAATGATGGGTCCCTCTGGGCGGCCTGGGTTAATGAATATGCCCTGAAGGGGGCTTCTTTTTGGGCGACTGGTTATAAGCCTCAGTTCAGCTGGATCTTAAGGAAGCTGTTTAAGCTTAGAATAGAGGCTGCTAGCTTATTTGACAGTGTAGTTGACTGGAATTTGGTTAAAGGTTATTGGGTGTGGGAGAAGTTAAGGGACAAGAGAGAGAAGGTCATTTGGGAACACTTACTTTGGTTTCCTCTTCATATCCCTAGAATGTCTATTGTTGCTTGGATGGTTTTTTTTGAATCGCTTGCCAACTAAGGATAGGGTTATCCATATAGGGATTGAGTTAGATGGGTGTTGTGAGCTTTGTAGTGATGGTGTGGAAAGCAGGGATCATCTGTTTAATGATTGCATTTTTGTTGTTGGTCTCTGGAGTAAAATTCTGCAGACTTGCAGAATTCCCTATAGGGTGCTGTGTTGGGATGATACCTTGGTCTGGGCTGCCAGCAATCTTAAGGGGAAATCCTTGCTGGTCTGCATTCTGAAGCTA